CATGATCTTGCGTGTGCGTAGGAAATTTTTTGAAATTACTACGAAACCCAACACTGATCTGTGTGCATCCTATCTATGCAGAGGTCGGGTGTGTGCTTATTGTGTTTATATCCTCTTGCTACTTCATTTTAAGTCAATAAAATCCACTTTGTCAAAAAATATCAAATTTTTAAGGATTTCACTTCAAGTCGAATGTTGGATTTTTGAGCATGGAGAATCGATCGTTTTTATGGGAAATTTAGTTGCCACTAGGATGCAAATTTTCTTTAGCAAGCATGACAAATCCTTGCCATGTTCAATTTCTTGCCCGGATTTGCCATGCTTGGTAAAAGAAATTATCATCCACATGACAACTAAATTGGCTATAAAAAACATTTGATTTTCCATGGTTAAAAATCTGACCTTAGATTTTTAACATTACCGAATTCTAAAGGACCAGTAACTAAAATGACACAAATTCTTGAGTATACTTCATCTGTTCCAAAATGTAGTGCATATTTTGTTTTTCAAAAATCAAACAAGTATATATTCGATCATATTTATAGAATAAATTATTAAATAAATAAAATAGCACACTTCATGAGGCAGCTAATGATGCTAAATATGTATTGTGAATGTTGATTTTTTTATAAACTTGCTCAAACATGGGCATGTTTGACTTTCAGAAAACAAAATATGCCCTGCATTTTGGAACAGAGAAAGTAATCCGGAAGTGATGGTTCACACCGACAAACAACCCAAATGGAAGGCACGCTGGTTGGCGTTATATGTTGTGTCAAAAGTATTAGCATCGCCAAGCTGTCTGTATTGGTATCGACTCTTGCCATTTGTCCACATCAGTGCAACTTATCTTGCTACCATTATCCACCAAAGCACTCTTGTCAAGCATTGGCTCTTTTTTCTTCAGTTCTGAGAAGAGCTCCACTGTTTTCTTCACATCTTCGTCTGACTACTCTTTGTTCATTCATTTGCATAGATAACAGAGTGACCTCTTGTTGAATGGTACATTCGCCGTTGAGCCAAAGAAGCTTGTGATAACACAAAAAACCTTACTTAGCCAATATTATTGCTCCTCATATGCTTCACAATGTCTTTGATGTGTGTGTGTGTGTGTGTGTTGATATTCCTGTGTGATGGCCAATGCAACTTCTCACCGCATGATGCGGATAGTTGGTGTCTAAATTCATGTATACACCAAACATGGTCTGATATGCAATGTAGTTTGATTATAGTTGTGCAATTGCAACATGATGGTTTTGTGTTTTCTTTTTCGGTTTCCCCTGAGAAAACAAAATAAATCTTCATCGGCGTGGATAATAGGATTAAATCAATTACATAGATAATGATGCTCTTATATTAGAAGAATATAGAAACCCATATATTTATACTCATCATGCAACCGCAAACTAATTCTTGGACGGCTTTACATTTATGTGCATTCCTCCTACATTGGTCGTATCTAATTCCAAAACTGAACTCACAAGAATACAAGTTGCAAAACTTAAAGGCTTCTGCAAGCGAGTCAAACTCTGTCCTAATTTCAGGTGTTGCAACATATCCTGTTTTGATTTCATCGAAGCTTCGGATTGGCTTCTCGAGTGCGTTGACCCTTCCCTATGAGATCATTAAAACTAACCAACTTAAAACTAACTTAAAATTATTCTTAATATTATGTTAATATAGGCAAACGAAAGTCCATTATGATATGATGTTATACAAATATTGTTAATATTTGACTCATCGAATAGATACCAAAATTACTTATAATTTTTTAAGCATTATGATTTTAATTAAATCTGAATTATCTCAAACAAAGCTTGTCATTGTTTCAGAAAGATGAAATATGTGCTATTAAATGTGTGTCTGTGTCCATTGATATAGTTTTGACCATATATACTTAGTGGTATGTTATATAACACCTAGCAAAGTTAATCACATATCATTAGTACTACAAAAGTCACATAGTTTTCTTTTATATTAGGATTCGAATTTGTTTGTTGTCCTCAAATTTTATTATAAATTACACTTACCGTGAACTGGAATTTTTTCATTATATAGATTTTTTTCTTATAGATTTTTCTCGGGACTTAGGAAACATTTATATATCCTCGATTATGTGAAGCACAAATGGACAAAGCTGACTTCTTGTGTGTATTATTATGTGTACATGTGCAGATATATGTAGGATGACTTTCATATTCTCTTTTATATCTCATAAGTATCTTGGTAGATAATTCTAGAGCATAAGATTTCAACATACATCTCAATCAAGATTACAAGTAACCGGAGTGCAAACGATTTCAGGGTTCTATTCGCTTTAGCTCGGACCGTTGTTTTTGTGTGCATGCCAAACAACTGAATTGGAATTTCGGGGATACCAAATCCAATTCAGGCCTCATTATGGATGTCCAGACTCAGCGTTAGGATAATTATTATCAAAAAGTCATAACTTTTGAACCGAGCATTAGAATTTCGACCAATTTTCACTGTTAGGTTTCTCAGGTCGAGCTCTTTGAAATCCCATATGGGTATGTTCTGACTTTTTTTAAAAAGCAACTTTTATGCCACATGAGACAAATTTAGTGCTACATAGAAGCAACTTCGCTGCACTATGTGTACCCGTAAATTTGGCTAACATTCTCCCAACTTGCCTACCATTGCTGCTTTGTTGCCTACAGTACACTGAAGTTGCCTATTACTGATGCTCAGTTCCCTGCTATTTGTAATTAGTTGTCTACTCTTGATGCTCAATTTTCTAACTTTGCTAATTAGTTGCCTACAATATTTGTGAAGCTGCATGTCAATGTTTTCTTATGCTGCCTACGAACACTATGGAGCTACCTACCATTTGCTAACGAGTTGGCTGCAATACTGTGAAAGTCGCCTATCGTTGTTCGTAAGTTGCCTACCTCAAAACTTGCCTACCAATGGTGCTTAGTTGCCTGTCAATACTATTTTAGTTGCCTATGGTACATTGAAAGTAGCCCATTGGTGTTGCTAAGTTTGCCTATCTTTGAAACTAAGTTGTTTACCGTACCAAAAGGTATTGTAAGCAAATAAGCATGAAGTTAGGCTACTCGCTGGTCATTGTAGGCAACTTACAGTAAACATTATCACTTGGCAATCATTGTGGCCAACTTGGGAGAGCATTAGAAAAACTAGTGTCATGGGACGAAAACCTAACATGGAGTTGCTTCCCATAGCACTGAAGTTGCTTGCCGTAGTACTAAAGTTGCTTTTGAAAGAAACTTCATCAAACCATATGCAAATAAGATCCAATTTTGAAAAGTTCGTCGCGGGGGCTCCAATGGTGAAAATGAATCTCAATTTCGACGGTTCAGTCAAAATTATACTTTCTCTGATCCAAAATAAGTGTCGCAGTTTGAACAGGGTTAGTTCAAAAATGCAACACTTATTATGGATCGGAGGTAGTAGCATTTAAAAATATATAGAATTCGCAAACATATCATCAAACTCGCATTGTCGATTTTATCCTATTTGAAATTGAATGTCATTTATATTCTCGGCGGAACAGGCGCTCATGTGGCTGCTCCGAATCGCTCCAAGATTCAATCTAATAGTGCGAAAGACTATGAGCTCATGGAGCCCAAATAATGCAGCCGTACTAATTACTCCCTCCGTTCATAAATATTTGTCTTTCTAGAGATTTCAACAAGTGACTACATATGAAACAAAATAAGTGAATCTACATTCTATATACATCTATATGTGATAGTCCATTTAAAATCTCTAAAAAGACAAATATTTAGGAACCAGGAGAGTAGCATTTAGAGAAAAATAATGTTAGCTGCATCCTCGTCAACACGTGTACGTCATCCACGATCCCACAAATGGCTAGGTGATCGTCATTCTTTTGCAAGATGTGCATGTGCCTGTAACTCTATACAAATACCACTGAGATCAATACGATCTATGTGTTGCATTTTTTTTCCGAATAATTTATGTGTTGCATCTATTCCCCTTTCACAGATAAACCAAACTTTGTGAGGCTGTGAGCTTTGTAATTGAAATTTCTAAGCTCATGAATGAAATTATAAGAAGAGAAAGCTAATGATATCTCCTTAATCTCCTTGATGATACACCATAGCTTTCAAGGGACCCTCCATTGAATGTGCTCTTGCTACTCAGCGCGGCCTTCGGCTTTGCTGCATTTTGGTTAAGTTAAAGGCATCACTCATACATCAATTTGTCCCCGATGCTCACTTTGGTACATCTTCGCACAAATACTACAATATCTCCCTAAACTTGCTCAACACGCACGAAATGAGCCAAATGAGGATAGTGCGATCTATGGATCTAGATGTAATAATTATTATTATTGGTGATGTAATTATTATTATTATTATTGGTATTCGTTGTGCTGTCGTAATTGATGATGAATAGATCAAAAAAAATTCTGACAAAGAAAAAGGTGACAACAAATGGCATGCTTAGTCAGCAAATTTAAAAAATTGGCTTGTGTAGTTTCCACGCGTGTGGATGTGCTCTGTTTTGTAAAAAAAAAAGGACCTCATATTCAGTTTTCTCAAAAAGGGCCTAATTTTTCTATGACAGACTAAAAATAAGCACAATATAGCACAGTTCAACAACAACAAACTGAGTCTTCGACCAAAGAAAACAGATGCAATGGCCATTTGTTCTCTTCTCACAAGACATGTGTAGATTTTTCTGGAACGCTGAAACAAAAAATATGCATGCGTAGACAACTGCGTCATGTACCATTTCGCTCTTTCCACGTCATTGCCAAGAGGCCGTCAGAAAGTAAACGCCAGTATTGTTGCTCGTGCTTACCCAATCCCCCAACCCAACAATGAGTACCGAAGTTCGGAAATGTCTATACATATCAGTGAATTACTTTACAGGAATGGAAAACATTATATCGCACAAGAGTCATAATCACAAGTAAAACTCTAGTTTCCGGAAGAAAAAAAAAGGCAATATATACAGGAGTGCTTAACTGAAGCCGGACTCAAAAGCACTTATGCCGCAGTGAGTTTCTGGATGTCCTTCTGCAAGAAAATAATACATGCCAACAATGACTGAGGAGTGGCAAATATTAAAAGATGCTAAGGAGGATAACATGCAGGGGATTTGTAAGGTGTTCTCTGCAATGTTGTGAACTACGAGAGGATTAAGGAATGTGCCCCTCAATGAGATACAGAAGTTTGGCATTCCTAAATCAAGCAATTTGAAAAGTAATGAGTGTAGTAAGCAAAACCATCTTATGAACGAAGCAATCCAGTGGCAAAATGGGCCGAAAGCAAAATAGCGAATGAATTAGATATTATGACAAATTGACTTCTGACTGATGGACTATGGCTTTCCAGTCTGTAGTGATGAGTTGGTGACACGAAATCAACTGCAGATTATATAACCCCATCCACCACTGCAATTAAGTCACCACAAGTCCTTTTGACTAAGTGGGCATTACCGCATTAGTTCAGGACTCGAATCTTCAATTTCGTCTAAACTTCTGAATTACATAATCCTACGGAAGGCAGAAAAAAATTGACACGCTTTCCGAACCCATGCTGCTTGCTTCTGGCTGTGGCCTGTGGGTGCCCCATCAACCATTGTGAGCAACTGTCATCAGAGACTTAGCATAATTCCATCATTTAAGCTTATGTAAATTCCAACACTGCCAAGGCTGTACGCTATGACCTATTGTAACAACTTGGAGAATGTGCCATCTGAACCACTCGTGTAGATCTAAGGTTCACCAAGAACACCAACACCGCTCTAGACACATTGGAGTTAGTACTCTGTTGGTCAAGGCTAGTTTTAGCTGGATGCCCACACCCACAAGACCGCAGCCCATAAGGTACTGTTTTTTACATATGGACAAATGAACATATGTTCATTGTCCGTTTAGCGCCACATGCCAACATATGCTGGGGAATCTTAGAACTAGAGATCCAAATTCACTAAAATTAGATTAAAATAGGAATTAATGATAAGAGGGATATACACTATAGAGCCACAGAGAAACTTAACACACCTCAATTTGGAATGGTGAAGTTGTTGGTGGATATCTCTCCACAACTTTGCCATTTTTGTCCACTAGGAACTTCTCAAAGTTCCACTTCACTATATCACCCAAAAATCCTCCAGCACTCGACTTGAGAAACTTATAAATAGGGGCTGTAAATGGTCCATTGACATCAACCTGCCATTGTATGCATATCCAATTAATTGTGGCAAGTAGCTGGAAATACTGAATACAATGCATTGCTTCTTAAGCTGGAGTTCCCATACCTTATCAAAAATAGGAAATTCAGCTTTAAACCTTGTACAAGCAAATTGCTTTATCTGTGTATTTGATCCAGGTTCTTGAAAACCAAATTGATTGCATGGAAATGCCAGAATCTCAAACCCTGCAATTTTAAAAAGATGAAAGAAAATGATACATCCTACTATGACCTTCAAATTCATGCTCATGCCACTCCAGTAGCTGTTGGTCAGTTTCTTATGCTCTTAGAATAGTAAATTAATCCAATCAGAAAAGGCAGTTTTTACTTTTACTCAAACAAATAGAGAATGTGTCATTGTGTCCTCAAGAAAATAGAAAAAAACATCCGTCATCTTGAACAAATGTTGTTGAGGCCGAAGTCACCATAAGAATCTTTCTTTTATTGGTAAGCATGGCACAGTATCTAATCATTCTTTGTTAGTCATGTGGATTGAAACAGAAATTTTTATTGAAACCAGATAGTTTAAAACTGGACCGGCCTGGGATAGTACCACCAACCCTGAAAAGTACCTGCTTGTTGATAGATAATTAACATAGACTGCTTCCACGGGTAAGGATTTAAAATTTTGCATGGCACTAGGGTGATTATCTAGAGCAAGACACCAACTAAAAATCATAAATGAGAAGAGGTCTCTCATGCCATAAGCAATGTCTAATCCAGTGAAAAGAAGGTCTAACCAGAAATACATATTACCTTGAGTCTTGTACTTCTCGTAAAGGTGAGATAGCTCAGTGTAATTTGCTGTTGTAAGCCCGCTGGGTTTTGCAGAAAAAAGTGAGGGTTCATGCACAACAAAGAATAACTTGATGTTGGGCTTAGGAAAAAACGTATATCAAGAAAATTACCATTGAGAAGCAACATTAACAATCAACAGTGCTTTTCCCTTGAACTTGCTAAGAGAAACATTTTTTCCATCAATATCCTGAATAACAGAGAAATGTTTCTTCAGGCACGAAAGTTAAAAATGGACACACTTAATCTCCTCACAAAAGTATGCTCATTCGTTCATAAATCATGTATCAATAATTAAACATATAAAATGATGCTATATTACAGTCAAGGGAAAATCACTAGGGAAATAGAAGTATCATAATATTAAAAAAATCTAAATTCCCAAACTACATGTTGCTTAGGAAAAAAGGACGAACACACTACAACACAGGTCAAAATGGGCCACAGCCAATTTCATGAAAGTTCAAATTTACCCTTAAACCAAATTTTAACCCTCATAATTTCCCGTAATCTCTTATCATTTTACTTGGTCAGTGAATCTGCTTGAATATGTCCTCCATGTGCAGTTTAAGTCTGCAAACCAACTACGCCAATATATCTATATATTTATCCAATGTACCGACACATGGATGGTAATAGATCTACAACGAGTAGGAATGCATATATTTCCTAAATCCGAATAAAACATTTCAGAGATACATTTATTTAAGGTAATTTTTTTTTTTGAAATATGTTACTAGCTCACACTCCATAACTGAAGTAAAACCATGACAAGTACTATGGAATGGAGGGAGTAATATATAAATCTCCAAATGCATTGGCCTGACGCAGCCAATTTCAAGCATGCCCAACAACGCCATTTCAAATAAAATACTTCTTCCGTTCCTAAATATAAGTCTTTCTAGAGATTTCAATATGGATTACATACGGAGCAAAATGAGTGAATCTAAACTCTAAACTACGCCTATATGCATTCGTATGTAGTTCATATTGAAATCTTTAGAAAGACTTATATTTAGAAACGGAGGAAGTATAAGTATTACCGATGGATACAGCACATCCCACCTACCTAACGACACTGCATCAAACATCTAACACAGCTGTCCTGTCGCTTGTCGCTGTGTACAATCTCACCTATATGCATCCGAATTCACACAAATCACATCGATCCATTCCACCGAACCCGCACGTACAATCTCACCCACGGCGCAAGCTCGCGCCTCACGCGCAACCCAAGTACGATGCCACGCCACTATCGCGAAAATTACGAGGCCAGAGAGCTGGTCACCTACCTTCACGGTGAAGTCGTAGATGCTCTTCTCCGTGGTGGCGGCGGCGTAGACGACGCCGGGCGCCCGCCTGCGCCGCCGCGGCGCCGCGACGGAGACCGCCGCCCTGCCCCAGGCCCCCGACTTCGAGTGGGTCGCCGGGAGGCGCGCGAAGGCGGTGGCCGCCGGAGGGAGCCGCGAGACCTGCGCGGCGGGGTGGAGGCAGGTGAGCGCCGCGGCCGCGGTGGACGAGGCCATGATGCAGGCGGGGTGTGGCTGCCGCGCGTCGGCGGGCGGGCGCGTGGGAACAGAGTGGGGGCGGTGGTGGGCGGGCGCGTGGTGGGGGTTTAGCGCGGTAGCGGCGCCGGATTGGTTCGCGCCGATTCTGGTTAAGGACGGAGCGCTTTTGCAGATAGACCCCTGCGTTGATCTATATTTGGCCATAACTTTCTTCATTGCCCTTTCTTCAGAAAATTGATGGAGGTATCCTACTTCCTCGATTTAGAAAAATATTACAAGCGATCAATTATAAAAAGATCAATAGTAAAAAAATAATAACCATCGTCTTCATCAATTCTGGCATGGTTGAGCTTTCGTTGCCCCATTTAAGAAGAATATTTTTGCTGCACCCCACCATTAAGACATCTGGAATGAACAATTTGGCCTATGGTTTGTTCGGGACATTACCAACCACCGTCTTTAGACGATGGTATAATCACATGCATGTTGTTAATAATTATGTAATGCCTCGGCCTTGATCATCCCAATCCATAAAATGCAGGGACAAAATTTGGATGTATTTGAAAACATGAATGCAAATTTGCAGTAAGCATCCTTTTGTGTATATCACATACCTTGTTGTTACTTCAGCTGCCATCACCATTGTTGAGAAGAGTTGCGGTGCCAAAGGGGTAGAAATTGAAGCACCAGAGAAGCGCCGCCGTCGCGGTTGTCAAATTCTCATCTAGCAAAGCTATTTGTGTACATATTTTCTTAGATTATCTGAAAATGTTATGTTTAGGCATATGCAACAGCCCCACTCACCTGAAAATGGTGTATGTGAATGTTCTTTTTATTCATCACGTGATTTTTCAAAAACTAATATAACATCCAATTCACCTGAAAATGTGTATAAATTTTACGTGAATGTTCTTTTTATGCAATGCCGCAAATTTTCAAAACACCAAGGGGGCGTGCGGAAAAGAGCCTAAGTTGTGGCTGGTGGCACTTTTTTTTTAGGGGGAGCCTGGCTGGTGGCACTGGTGGGGCAGCGGACACGTGAAGCGCTGTGCGCCGGGCGGGTGTTGGTCTTTTTCAGCTGGCGCACGGCACAAGCTGGACCAGCCAAATTGCAAGAAACCAACCTTTATCCACTTCGTCGCGGACATGCAACTCCCAGAATCCATTTATTGAGGCACTGGACGATGCACACCGCCGGCGACGGGGATGCCGCTGGAGCAGTCGTTTCCAAGCATTATCTCCGGTCCTTGTCGCGTGAGTCTCCCTGTTCCATCTGCCATGTCTTTAGCGCGCGGGAATGAATTAGCGCGATAGGTTTTTGCTGGGGTCAATTCATTTACGAGGTTTGTAATAAATTGGAAAAAGGTCTATTTCTGGTGAATCGACTGTTGTGAATGATGTTCTAGAAAGAGGAAAAAGACTATTGTCAGTATCGTGAACGTAAAGGTTTCATCGCTCAACTCTAGGTAGAGCTTAGAGCTTCTTTTTTTTTAAATGGTCAGATTTATTATAAAGATTTACCGGAAGTACAAAGCACCTCAAATATAATAAAAATTACGTCGAGGTCCACCGAACGACCATTGCCGCCACCAGAACGAGCCTCCGGCGCGCCACTGTCATCGCTTCCATACTAAAGCCGGGCTGACCTTGCCGCAGTCGGGAAGTCTTCGTGCACGTACCCCTAAGGACCAGCGCCCTGGAGGCGCAGTCGTCGCCATTGAATTCTTGAATCGATCTAAAGAACTTAACACCAAATATCGCCGCTGCGTACGCACGGCGAGAAACCCTAACCTCCCCGCCCCAAGGAGTTGGCTGGAATCTACGTCGGAGCTCCGTCCAATCCATCCAATAGACAAACTTGAGAAAGATCGAAGCCCAGAAGACTGACTCGAAAAAAGAGTGCCACCAACCGTCCAAACGCCGCCTCTGCGAAGACTAAAACCCTACCTATCTATATCTATATACTAGTGGAAGTCGAGATATCAGGATTCTCCTCCCCGCCACCGGCAGCCGGAGCGGTAGGCGGAGGGGAGGTGAATCCACGGGCTCGCCGACGGAGATTGAGGGGAGAAAGGCTTTCCCAAGTCGCCTTGGGAGAATGAAAGAAAAGCCAATGGTTTGTCAGATCCCAATAGCTTAGAGCATCTTCAACCATGGTAGGCTAACCAGACGCTAGGCTTGGTAAAGAACCTTGTATTTGGAAGGGCACATCTCTAAAGGTGCCCTAGCTATTGCACATTCAAGTTATTCAATTAAATATAAAAAGTAAAGGAGAAAAAAAACATGAATCTCTAGATAAGATTGATGACATAGAACTTAAATGTACAATAATTTTGGCGCATCCAGATATGATTTAGCAAATCTATTCAAATTAAGTAATGATGATTAAGGTTATGCCCCCCCCCCTCCCGCCACCAATTTGTCTGTTCGGGGAGTCATAATCCTTGTATCCAAAATCTCAATTCGATACAAAGTCATGCAATGTCAATTTCATAAGTTCATCATATAAGAAAGAGCTGCATTTGAAAGAAAATTGCAAACTACGTGGTACCCTACTCCCAGTCCTCGTCGGAGGAGAGTTTGGTGACCCCTTTACGGAAGCAGTTGTTCTCATGATCATTGGCGGTGGCTCGAATCAAGGGTATCTCCTCGTCGCCGATGTCGTCTGCGAAGAGCTCCTCCTGCTCAACGTCACGAAGGAGGATTTGGCGGATGTTCGTCGCCACCGCCCGCTCAGACTCGAGGAACTCCATAATGGTGCGGTTCATTGCGACGAGGATGCTGTCATTGGTGAGCTCAACGAAGGCGGAAGCACCTATATGTTCGACCTCGAACCGCGCCTCCACCGCAATGTGCTCTGCCTCCTCGGCTTGGGTGAAGCGCAACTACCCCTCCGCCTCCTCCATCGAGAGGAGGCAAATGACATCACCCCCGCCGGTCGTGGCGTTTGCCACCTCAAACCTGACGGTGGGGTCAACCTCCATATCCTCCTAGAGAGCTTGGGGATTGGTTGATTGCAATGCAGTCTACGCACCATGCCTCGATGGTGGGCACCTCGTCGTGAGCTCCGCCCAATGCCCCGACATCAGCATCTTGTAATACGTGGCCTTCTCGCGGACCATGGCGGAGGGCATATGGTGAGGTCTGAGAAGATAGGAACACCCTTTGTGGCGCGGACGGGAAGGGGAAAGGGAGGGAAAAGGGAGGGAAATCGCTCGTCTTCAATAGCCGGGGTTTGGCCCCTCGGGAGCCGCACCGACGAGGAACCATGAATACAAACACCAAACCAGTGACCTCCCAGGCTGACTGATGGGTTTTCCCATGGGTCTCACTGGTTAGTCCGATGTGGAAGCACATTCGAGCAGCCCCAAATCTACCGCACATATGGCTGGGGAGGGGTGCCGCATGGAGGGTTTATCGGAGCCAAGATGTTTATTTTTAAGAAAGGCTTAATCTAGCAGTGGCCATGCACTACGACACAAGAAAACAACTCAAAACATGAGACGTGAAAAAATCATGCAGCTCTCATGAGTTGTCTTGAAAATTTAACAATCCATTACATAAAAAGGAACATAACAAGCACCACAATAATTTGTCAAGAAGATAAGTGTGAAGATCATTTTCTAATTGATTGAAAGTATAACCTTGTGGTTCTTTTCATTGAGAATGGTTATTTTTGTGCCGACCATATGTTGTTTGTCATGGTATGGCAGGGTGGTGATAGATAACAAAACCCTAAGACCCCACTTGGATTACTGTGTTTCATTCAGATACACCTGTAAAAATACACGCAGCTGCATGTGTGTATCCTTCCCGGTCGAAAATCACTCTAATACAGTAATATACACTCGTAAAGTTGATACACCTATATTAAATTACACTCAATCCAAGCCCGGCCTAAGGTATGATATGATTTGTTCAAACACCGCGGTCCATGCTAAGCATGATGACTTATGCTCGCAGTGTATTCTTTCCTTATTAGTCATGTTTTGATTATGTCTTTTATGTATTGGCACTCTTTTCGACACCGTGTTTGCATAGACGTGGTGGTATCATTCGATCATTAACATAATTATCATGCCCATTCTAAGACAAATATGCCATTTCGTTAGCAAATTGAAACGTTTGCATGTCGACCGTCTATCAGCGATCGAACGGCTACATTTCTAACATCAAAAACCACATAACAAGCCCCGGCCACCCGCACCGCCCGACGGCACCGATGCCTTCTCCCGGCCTGCCGCCCCCCGCCGCCGCACTCCTCGCCGACGTCGGCGCCCTCCGCCGTTCGTACGCACGCCTCATCGCCCTCTCCTCCACGCTCCGCCACCTCGATCAGGTCCTCGCCGTCTGCCTCGCCTCCGGCCACTACACCCTCGACCCCGCCCCGGCCACCTCACTCCTCGTCCGCTACGCCGCCCTCCGCGCACCTCCCCGCCAGCTCCTCCGCCTCTTCCGCGCCGTCCCCAACCCCGACCGCTTCATTCGCAACGCCCTACTCCGCTCCCTCCCGTCCCTCCGCCCCGACCTCCTCTTCCCCTGCCCCGACTCCTTCTCCTTCGCCTTCGCCGCCACCTCGCTCAACTCTTCCAGCTCCCGCGGCGGCATCGCTTCTGGTTCCGCCTCCGCGCGCGCGCTGCACGGGCTCGCCGTCGCCGCGGGGTACGCGGGGGACACGTTCGTGGCGTCGGCCTTCACCAAGCTCTACTCCACGCTGTCGAGAGGCGATGACGCACGCAGGGTGTTCGACGCTGTGCCGTCTCCGGACACGGTCCTCTGGAACACGCTGCTCGCCGCGCTGTCCGGCTCGGAGGCCATGGAGATGTTCGTGCGGATGGTCAGGGCAGGATCGGCGCAGCCTGACTCGACGACGCTGTCATCCGTCCTGCCGGCAGCAGCGGAGGTTGCGGATGTGACGATGGGAAGGTGCGTTCGTGCCTTTGGGGAGAAATGCGGATTGGCACAAGACGAGCATGTTGTGACGGCGCTCATATCACTGTATGCCAAGTGCGGAGACATGGAGTGTGCACGGCATCTCTTTGACAGGATGGTGGCGCCGGATTTGGTTGCATACAATGCCTTGATCTCAGGCTACTCGGTTAATGGCATGGTTGGATCGTCGGTGGAGCTGTTTAAGGATCTGGTGACCTTGGGCTTGAGGCCAACCTCGAGCACGTTGGTGGCGCTGATCCCGGTGCACAGTCCGTTCGGGCATGAACAGCTTACTCGGTGCTTACATGCGTATGTTGTCAAGGCTGGATTTGATGCCAATGCTCCTGTATCGACATCACTTACCACTCTGTACTGTAGGTTAAACGACATGGACTCTGCAAGGAAAGCCTTTGATGCAATGCCTGAAAAGACCATGGAATCATGGAATGCCATGATATCGGGGTATGCCCAGAATGGTTTGACGGAGAAGGCCGTTGCACTCTTCCAGAAAATGCAGGCGCTCAATGTGCCACCAAATCCGCTCACCATCTCGAGCGCTCTGTCGGCCTGTGCACAGCTTGGAGCTTTGTCATTGGGAAAGTGGGTACACAAGATCATCTCCAAGGAGAACCTCGAGCTCAATGTTTATGTCATGACAGCGCTCATTGACATGTATGTGAAGTGCGGAAGCATTGCTGAAGCTCGCCGCATCTTCGACAGAATGGACAATAAGAATGTGGTCTCCTGGAATGTGATGATCTCTGGATATGGCCTCCATGGTCAAGGTGCTGAAGCTTTGAAGCTCTACAAGGACATGCTGGATGCAAACCTTCTTCCAACAAGCTCCACCTTCCTGTCAGTACTCTATGCGTGCAGCCATGGAGGATTGGTTGAGGAAGGGCGGACAGCCTTCCGGTCAATGACTAGCGATTACGGGTTCACTCCAGGTATCGAGCACTGCACTTGCATGGTGGATCTACTCGGCCGAGCTGGCCGGCTCAAGGAGGCTTATGAGCTCATCTCAGAGTTCCCCAAGAACGCCATTGGACCTGGCGTATGGGGGGCTTTACTTGCTGCTTGCATGGTTCATAAGGATGCTGAACTTGCAAAATTGGCCTCCCAGAAGTTGTTTGAACTAGAACCCGAGAACACTGGCTACTATGTGCTGCTCTCCAATCTGTACACGTCAAAGAAGCAGTACTCTGAAGCAGCTGGGGTGAGGCAGGAGGCCAAGAGCAAGAAGCTGGTGAAAACACCAGGGTGTACTCTAATCGAGCTAGGTGACAAACCGCATGTCTTCATGGCTGGTGATCGTGCTCACCCACAGTCAGACGCCATCAATTCGTACTTGGAGAAGCTAACTACAAAGATGATTGAGGCTGGGTACCGACCCGACACGGAGGCGGCATTGTACGACGTCGAGGAGGAAGAGAAGGAGCATATGGTGAAAGTGCACAGCGAGAAGCTGGCCATTGCCTTTGGATTGCTCAATACGGAACCTGGGACCGAGATCAGGATCATCAAGAACCTTAGGGTGTGCCTGGACTGCCATAACGCCACCAAGATTATTTCCAAGGTGACGCAGAGGCTGATTGTGGTTAGGGACGCGTCGAGGTTTCACCATTTCAGAGATGGAATTTGCTCCTGTGGTGATTACTGGTGATTCACTGGAATTTGCTCTGATCTCTTAACAGATGATTGGTTGATTCTTTCGAGGTAATCCTATCTGGAGAGCATTTGCTGAGCTAAAATAATTTGTAACCTCGGGCGCCAGTTTTGTGTGGCTGGGAGAAAGTCAGAACTGACTCATAACCAACATATTTCATTTCAGTTCCAAGCAAGACCCAAGGTTTTAACCCAAGGCACAGACTCTCTCGCCAGTATACAATAATTTTACCAGCTCATGGGGAAGAACACTGCTTCAGCAGAAAGTTAAAGTCGTTGACAAAAACATCATGCTGAAAATAGAACCCTTGTAATGGATTGTAAATTGTAATATTTGATTGCCAATTGGCACAACATGCGAGCTACATAATAATTCGTGCTTTGCTACAAGTATGGTTAAAAGTGTTAACCAACATTCCTAAAAGCCAGAACATTGCTAAAAGCTTCCTCAAAAAAAAACATTGCTAAAAGCCAGAACACACAAGCTTTGTTAGCACTTGCTTTCCTGGTAACAAATCATTACTTCACAATAGATTCTCCAACAAAAGTTATCGACAGCGGCTCTTTTGCCTAAGATGCTGAATGAGCTGTGTCGTCTTGGTCAGGGCAGAACCTTCTTCAGCCAATGAGTTGTATTAGTAGGCTTAAACCATGTTTTGAAAGCAATATGAAGGGCTGTCAAGTAACTTGAGTGATTAAGAAATAAAATGCATCACAAACATGAACTATGTCAAGCTTTTGAGACAAGATGATCAACTTAAGAACTGCGTGAGAATTTAGTCCATTTGTTCCTACCTAGCACCTCAGTCCTTGGCTGCTTGCAGTCAGGATCCAGATGCCATTCAGTACATAACAGGGCATTTTAGCATGCGCTGGAGGCAAACAAGGTTCTTCATGAATCATGAGCTCAGATGAGCCTAGCCTAAAAAACATTGTTAGTGTTGATATTGCTATAGCCTTGTGAAGTTGTGATGCCAGGCCAGCAGCATTTTACATCAACAGTGTGTTTTACCATGCGGCGCAGTCTGAAAATCTGAATATCTCATATCACCATGCAGCTTCAACATGAACAACCTTGTGATGTAAAGAGTATGTTGTGCAAACACTTGCCAGATATCTCATCATGTCAGGCATCATTTTAAAAATTGGCCTTCTCAGTTTTCTGCATCGTCTCAGGGTTTGTTCCAAAATTTGAGCTATATCCCAAACAACACCACAGTGTACACAACACTCCATACTTCATCTGGACCTATTCCCCTGCCATAAGATCTGACTGTACACAGGAGATACGAAGAGAAATTCTCCTGAATAATCAATAACTCGATATGAACGGATCAGGTGCAACAAATACAACTCTGTGGCCTTTGTTAGACAATTAGAAAACATTCAATTCATCCATTTTCATGTCCCACAGAGCTGCAGCCGGGTAGCTTGACTAGTCCTCTTTCCTGCATCGATCTCCTGATAGCAAGAGACTTATCCCACCTCCCGTAGGAGGTATACAAGTTGGACATGAGCACATAAAAATCTGGCGTGCCAGGATGAAGAACCATCATCCTATTGATAGCTTCTTCTCCAAACTCTAACCTGGAATGGAGCTTGCATCCATGGAGAAAAGCTCCCCAGACACTAATGTCTGCTTGCATTGGCATCTTCTGTATGAACTCCAATGCCTCCTCCAGATTTCCGGCACGGGACAGCACATCAACCATACATGCATAATGCTTCATTGAAGGAGTGATGTTGAAATACTGTGCCATGCTCTCAAAACACTTCTTTCCTACAGAAACCATCCCAGTGTGGCTGCAGGTGGAAAGGATACTTGTGAACACCACATCATTTGGTTGGATATTGTCCTTCAACATTTCATTAAAAAGGTCGATCGAGCCAGCAGAATCGCCCTGCATACCATAACCTCCAATCATAGCACCCCAAGTGACAGAATTGCGATCATTCATCTCTCTGAACACCCTCTGAGCAGATGGGAGATCAGCACACTTGTTGTACAGGTTCAGCAGAGCAGTGTTGACGTAAATGTTGGACAGAAATGCGTGTTTGACAGCATAAGTATGGAAACATTTACCGATAAGTAGATCACCCAAACAAACACAGGCTGACAAGGCGTTCACTACGGAGATGGCATCAGGAGAAGAACCCTGCACCCTCATCTGACTAAATAGCATTAGAGCTTCATTGCCCATGTCATTCTCAACATAGCCAGCGATCAATGAATTCCATGTGACAACATCCTTGTTCGAAATTCTTTCAAATATCCCATTGGCCTCTGACACTGCTTTACACTTTGCATACATATCAACGAGCGCGTTCATCACCACATCCTTCTGAACCACACCTAACTTAACTGACATCCCATGAATCAACCTTCCCAGAGACAAGTTGCGCAACTGAGCGGAAGCTGAAAGAACAGTTGCTATGGTTACCGAATTAGGAACAATGCGCACAAATTTCTTGTCAGCGAACAGAAGTAATGCATCAAGAGGACTCCCATTCTGTGTGTAGCCCACGATCATCGTCGTCCAGAGAACAAGGTCAACAAAACCGAGCTCATCAAACAACCGCCGAGCATCCTCTAGCTGTCCGCACTTGACATACATATCCAGCATCGCTGCGGTAACGAAAGGGTTAAATACCATGCCAAGTTTGACCGCTGACCCATGAACCCATCTCCCTTGGTGTAAACTGCCGAGCATGGTGCAAGCCGTGAGCACGCTCGCCATCGTGTGCTCGCTCGGCAGCACGCGCTCTTCCCTCATCTCGTTGAACAGCGCCAGTCCTTGTTCGGCGAGACCGTTCTGCAGGCAGCCGCTGAGCATGGACGTCCACGACACCACGTTACGGCCAAGGATCCTGTCGAACACCTTGCGTGCGTTCTCCAGGTCGCCGGCTTTGGCGTACATGTCGACCAGGCAGTTCATCACGAACCCGTCCGCGCCGCCGGCCTTGACGGCGTCGCAGTGCAGCCGCCTGCCGTAGCGGAAGTCGGCCGACCTGACGGAGGCCTTGAGCGCGAGGGAGAGCAGGACGACGTCGCCCTGCGCCGCGGGGCACCGCCGCCGCATGCCCCGGTGGAGCGCCACGGCCTCCACGTGCCGCCCCGCGGCGGCGTGCCACCCGACCGCGACCCTGTAGGTGTAGGGGTCAGGGCGGGGGGTTTCATCGAGCACCCTGCGCGCGGAGGCGAGGTCGCCCAGCGCCGCGTAGCAGCTGAGCAGCTTGGTGCGGGCGCGGAGGGGGTGGAGGAGGCCGTGCGCGAGGAGGCGCGCATGGAGGGCGCGGAGGGAGGGGACGGTGGCGCACGCCGGGAGGAGGCGGTGGAGGAGGGGGCCGCCGTGCCCGTGGGGCAGGTGCTCGACGGAGTGCGCGTCCGGGGGAGCGCCGCGTGGGGACGGCGCGTGCATTGGGCGTTCCGGGCTTCCGGTTCGGAAGGGTGTGCAAGGAGCCCACGAGGTAATAAAGTGCTAAGGCCCAGTTTGCCTCATTTTTCTTCCGTATCACTGCATTGGCGAAATCAAGTACTTTTTGCAAATGCCGCTCCCGCGACAAGTGTCACACTGGATGTGCATCACCTATCGCAAATTGAGAGTTTTTTTTTTCTAGTTTCTTTATTCAAAACGTTTTATCTCTCAAACCTCTCGAACCGGTTTCATTATTGGATTCTTGGCATTAAGATCTTCAAAACTAGCCCCTACATCGATAAGTTTTGACGAACATTTTTTCACGAAAAAAACAAACTGAGAGCATCATTTTTTTTCATTTACAAAAGGCATGACCGTACCTCTCGTGGTATCATATATGTGCCTCCACGAGAACTAAAGCTGTGCCTTGCACGAATGAAGAAAAAAAAGAAAACGCTTCTTTCTCTTTATGAAAGGCATGATCGTGCCTCTCACGGAAGCAAATTCGTGTCTCTATGAGAAGTAAATTTGTGCCTCTCACGAAAGAAAAAAAAACACGTTTTTTATTTTTCAAGAGGCATGACCGTGCCTCTCGCAGAAGAAAATCCTTGCCTTCATGAGAAGTAAATATGTGTCTCTCGTGGAACAAAAAAGAACGTGTTTTCCTCCTTTTCGAGAGGAATGACCTGCCTCTTGCGAAACGAAAAAAAGTGCCGTTCCCTTTTCTGATGCCTCTCGCGAAAACCAATCCGTGCCTTCATGAAAAGTAAATTTGTGCCTCTCACAGAATGAAAAGAAACATGTTTTTCCTTTTCCGAGAGAAACGGCCGTGCCTCTGCCGGAAGCAAATTTGTGCCTCTCGTGAAAGAAGAAAAAGAAAATGGGTTTTTTCCTGTCTAAGAGGCAGTCCATGCCTCTCGCAGAAACAAATTCATGCATCCACGAGAAGTAAATTTATGCCTCTTGCGGAGCTAAAAAACATGTTTTCCCTTTCTTAGAGGCACAACTGTGCCCCTCATGAAAGTAAAATTGTGCCTACATGAGAAGTAATCTGTGCCTCTTGCAGAAGGATAAAAAACATATTTTCCCCTTTTTTGAGAGGCACGGCTGCGCCGCTCGCGGAAGCAAATATGTGCATCTTGTGCAAGCAAAAAAAACACATTTTTTTCCTTTCCGAAAGACATGACCGTGCCTCTCACAAAAACAAATTCATGCCCCGACGAGAAGTAAATAGATGCTTCTCGTGGAAGAAAAAAAAAGAAAACACATTTTGTCGCGTTTTTTTTTTTGAAATTCTTTTCCAAATCCTAAGAAAAATCAGAAAAACCCCGAAAAGCCAAAAAAATAAAAACAATCGTCTAAAAGTTGAAAACTCGTACAGAAAAAATAATTCGGAGGGAGCGAGATACATGGCGGCAGCTGACAGCGCGTCAAGTGGGCGCGCTCCCAACCCACACGAAGTGTTCCCTGCCGGGGCTTCCGAAGGAGT